GCAATAACATTATATTACTGTATCTTGTTATATCACAAAACTGCCTTGTCATTTCACAAAAAAAATGCATGTCATTAAAGGACATACTGACTTATCTCATAAGACACTTCTTTTAGTTTAATGTTATAAGAAAAAGAAAAAAATGTCTTTGGGCTGTATTCATATGGTTCTTTGTGCCTTGCATAGAGAACAATTCATGATCTTTCAGTCATGAATTATAAGGATAAGTCTGCATTTTGAGTGGTTTTGAGATATTGAGCTTTTAAGTTTTACCCTATAGGCACTCTAAATACATAATATCCAAATCCTATCACACTTTTAAGAAGGGTTTTGTAGAACAGGTGCTTTACAGATAGAGCTTTTATTCATGAGAACTAATTTTTCACTTGGAATTATTATTTATTTTAATTATTTAAGGCTCTATCTGCTTGGATAGAGGAAAGTCTCAGTTCATTTTCAGCTTCCAACGGTTGCAGACCATAATGCCTCTGGATGAAGTGGGACAGAACTACAATCAATCAGGGCAATCACACGTGAGGTTAGCGCAGAGTTGGACAAGCTGGTAAATAAAACTTTTATCAGATCCTGTCAGTAATATGGCGAATGCATCTTTCCTACAACAACAAATGCTGTAAGTGCGGTTGCTAGTTCTTCTTTTAGATAAAATATACCGTCAACGGACTCAACACACCTCTCCGCATCAGCAGCAGCCATCTTGGTTGTTAACAAAAATGATTAATTGGCGCTCCTGTGTCAGCCATTGTATCGAACCCAGCCCATTTTAGATAAATGGTTGTGACTGTCCCGACCTGTCTCAGGACAGATGGAAATCTGTGTAAATGCGGGGGGGGGGGCGGCTAGTAGAGTGCCATGCGTCCCAACCCTTAAGCTATCAGTGAACTTACATTATTCACACAAAAGGTTTGGCTCGGAAGACAGTGAATCTATGTGTTGTAAAACTGTGGTTGTTTTTTCTCATTTTTTAATTTTGTGTTTTCTTCTTAATGTGAGCAGCTCTGATGTCGCTCCCAAAAGACCACAAACTACTTAACTATTGTCTTGTGTAACAACCCAAGGTTGACTCTCTCTGCCAGTGGGATACGACTTAATAACACTGACATCCAGCTCTTCCAGCTCTCTGCCAATATGTCAATGACTGAGCTAAACTAACGTGGTATCTAAACTGCAGAAGAACAAAGTTAGAGGGCGAACAAGAAAACAGAGTTCTGTCCTTGGGGACATTTTATGTAATGAAAGAATTGTGACTGACTGCATTCAGCAACAAAAATGGCTATGTCAAAGAGGGGCAAGGCTTGTAGAAAAACAATGGAAAGCTGTGTAAGCATTTTCTCAAGTGATGGAAACATTCCTTTATAAGTTAGGAACTAATGTTTCAGGAAAATGGAGAGAGTTGCAGTAACACAGAACAGTAGAGTTCTCAGACTCAAGACTCGACACATTTAGGTGTTTTACAGTTCCTATAAATGACTGACAGCCATCTTGAAAAGTTATCATGCTTTTAATTATAAAGTGGCACTGCGTATTTCTAAGCCACAATAGGAAAAAGTTATAAAGTAAAAGGCCCCTAGCTCTCATCTACAACACACTGAATCTTTAAATGCAAGTTTTCATAATCACAGGCAGTGGTGGGTCTGATCGTCCAGAATACAGGCTCTGACTCTCTGTAACCCATGGGCAACTGTGAACACCCAGTGGAGAATCACACTCTGCGGTGACCACATTGGAAATACAGCAATGTTGTCCAATGAAGACGGTAGTTATAAATAAGAATAAGAATATTTTTCATTACAGTTTTAGATGATTAAGGATGATTAAAATCCCTTTACATAAGGAAAACTGTCAGCTTTAATTGACAGCTATGTGTTTCTAAACTATTATACTATTATAAATTATACTCTATTTAACTTTGTGTGACCAGTCAATGGTTTCATACAGTGACACAAAGTGTGGCGCTCGTAAGCCTCTGACCTAACTGGCTACAGGGGATGCATGTTAAACAAGCATAGCCACTTCAAAGTAACTTAAGTCACACATTCTGTCCATAAACAACTACGCTGGCTTTGACGTGACCAGTTAAGTTACGCTACTGACATTTGTGGTGAATTAAAACTTTACTAGAGTGTCCGCATCAAATTTGCTAGCACTGCATTACTCTGTCACTTGTTTAAATAGCTTCAGATGACACAAGTGCATGTATGTATGTATGTACGTGGTGGCCGTGTGAGTAAGGCGGTTGCATGTGTATCTGTGTGTTGCCTTTCTGTATGTGTGTATGGTGAAATCAGCTTAATTTGGATGTTTTGTGTTGATATTTTTCTTTTGTACTGATTTCACTTGGTTGGGGGTAGTGTGACTATCATGACATCAAATATATACGGGTGGCAGCACTGTCAAGGGTAAATATATCTATCAGTGTGGAGGTAAAGAAATGTTAAAAGGTGGATTCTCAAATGTTCAAGGTGTTGGTCAACATCTAACACAGAGTTAGTTTTTTTGTTTCCACTTGCCAGCAGCAGGTGTAGCAGCTAGCTGTACAATTCTTAGAGGCAGTGTAACCTTGTGGGATGTGATGGCGTTGAATGTACTCTGACACAAGCCTAAAGACTTCCTTCAAGAGCTCCCGCTGATCTGCTGACACTCCCCGATGTTAGCATGCCCTGACCTGGAAAAGCCCAAAACCATCACACACACAGCGGGAGCTCAATAAGCACCACAACATCTGCATGAGGTGACAAGTGTACAATGCCACTTCCATTCATTTCGCCAGTGTACACATACACAGCAGTTGTGGCATGACATGAAATCCATCAAAAATGGCACAGGGAAATACACGTTAGGGAGTGAACAAAGACAAAGTCGAAAAGTCTATAAAGTGTGAAGGTGACAGAAGACTTTGGAACACTTTTCTTATTATTTTTTTTAACCAAACAGAAGAAGGGAGAGTAGAAGACTCCACAATTAATCATATGAAGTCCAGGCCGTAATTTCTGTGCGGTAAATACTGGACAGTCACGCATTTTTTTGTTCTATAGGCTCTGCGCTTCAGCAGATTCAATTTGAAATATAATAATAGATACTACATTAAAGTGCCAAGTCTCTTTAATTTGAGTAAGTTTACATCAATATAGAAAGAACTGTGTAGGACTTCAGTAGAAGAGAAGAAGTGATAGAAATAGAAGCAAAACTAGATGGTTGCTTTCCACTGCTGGAGCCAACTCTTAGTGAGCAAAGGAATGAAGTTTGCTGCTGAGCTCACAAAGTTTCTTCTTGACTGGTAAGTAAACAGCTGTTAATGCAAATGTTGGCTATGTGTGGAAATAGCTGCTTTAAGTTCCCCCTCTGCACTAGTAAGGAGTAATTATAATGCTACAGTTAGGGGGTAGACTTTCACCGTTTAATATTTTTCTTTCCCTTAGGAAAGTCACACAATCTTTGAAATAAAAGATGTTATAAAGCTCAACTGAATGTTTTTAATTACTGTTGTGTTATATTAGTCAGCATTTCGATTATAATATCCAGTGTGTTTTAACTCACTCTAAATACTGTGGTGGAGTAATAGACAAAACTGATACAAAAGCAAAGTACACAAAAAAGGAATTGGACGAGTCAAACTTGTTTTATGGAGGGGAGAGAGGAAATGAAAGAAAAAAAATGTGATATTGAGAATTTTATTGTTTTCTCAGAAGTCTAGAACCTGCAATAAAAGTTTAATCTCTGCTGTATCTCTCTCGCTCTCCTCTTCTCTTTCCATGTTTTTATTCTCCTTTCCCTCTACTTTGCTGCTTTGTAGTTGTGGTGTGTATTGATGTACTCTTTGGCATAAAGAGGAAAGCGGATGATAATACCCAAGTATTTTATTCCCTTGTATCAGATGGGTGCTAGAACCATTCATAGATCACATTCCATTTATCTTCATACAAATCTCCAAGGAAGAGACTGAAATATATACAACAGGGACATATGGTAATACATCATCTACCTAATAGTTTTAATAGTTCTCATAATGGGGTGTTAGTTCAATAATAGGAAAGAGACAAGCTGTTAAAGCAAGAACATGCCTCTGATATATTCCTCTTTAATTATAAAAGGGTGGCAATAAATCTCTATTTGCTCTGACTCTCATGGGATCAGCTGAATATAGGATTTGTACACATTTGATAAAATGAGCACCGCACAGCTGCAGTCAACTCAAGATGTGGAAAGTTTAATTAATAATGGTGAAATGCATCATTTGTCTAATATGCCAGTTCAGTATTTAACCAGGAAAACACCAACTTCACCAGACAGACCATTTACTGCATGTCATTCCCATACTCTCTCTCTCTCTCTCAATTACCTGTATGTGTCTACTGAGTCTATAAAAACAAATGCATAAAATGACCAAAAGAATTTCAATTAGAATGATAAACTTGAGTTAGCATCTTGTGGTTGCATATTTCCACCAACCAGTCAAGCTGCCGGTGATATGGTCACACTCTTGCCTTGACTTATGGTGCTGAATCATGGCCAGAAGGATGATGTCAAACCTTTGACTGTTTGTATATAAAATGTCATCACTTCATTATTTTATCCTATTAGACATGTGTATGAAAATGTGTCATAATTAGTGTATGCATGCTTGAGTTATGGCCCAAAAGGGGTTTTGTGAGGTCACAATAACACTGACCCTTGAACATCAAATTCTAATCAGTTCATCCTCAAGTCTAAGTGGACTTCATATCAGATGTATTGAAATTCCCTCTGGGCGTTCCTGATTATATATATATATATATAGATATATATATATATCTATATATATATATTGCATTCACAAGAACGGGACGGACAGATAGACAAACGGACAACATGAAAACATAATGCCTCCGGCCACAAAAGACATAAAAACCTTGCTGTTTTCCTTCTGAAAAATATTTGATTCATCATTGGGGATTCAGAACAATTACACAGGCAAATACAAAAAAAAAGAATAATGTGATTACCGTGACAATGAGCAGGATTCCTTTCAGTAGGGTGAGCAGGGAAGTGATTGGCTGGATGACTGTGTGGGCTAGCAAGATAGCTAGAGTGAGAATCCAGGTGAAGGCCGGGATCACATAGATGTGACTGTGGAGAAAACACGGACAGAATAAACACACAGATAGTCAGTTTGAATGCTTTGATTTATTCATGCAAACAGAACAACTGAACAAAGTCTGCTCTGTCATGATACACAAGGAAACGCAAGGCAAGTTTATTTACAGTTTATTGCACCATTCAAACACACGGCAAATCAAAGGGCTTTACAGAGGCATGGAAATACATTAAAAATACAGCATTAAGATGACATTAAAATAGCATTTAAAAACAATAAAAACAAATTTGAATAAATAAAAATATTCAAATAAGTAAAAAATTTAATACTCAGAAAGGCATGCTTTACAACTTTTATTTAAAGAAAGTATCTAAGCAAATCAAAGGTTTGGAGCACACAAACTGGATTGACATTTAATTTAAATTTGTTTGAACGACAGCATATGTCTTTATGCATTTATATTTTGAAATGATTTTTCAATGTGAGTGGCAAAGGCAGTGGCTATTTCATATTCTAAGCTATTACAGCAGAATTCCAAGAGGCCTAACGTCATGAATCAAGGCTCTGAGTGCAAAGTGTGGCATATACAGAAGTGCACTCAGGGTCCATATAAAATAGTGTAGAATTGCAGCACATTACTAGTCTGCAGGCAGTCCATGTGTGGATGTGTATTTGCTTTTGCATGCACATGAAAGTGCCTACCCCACATGGACACCAAAATATTACTGCTGCAGTGGTGATACATTTGTCAGACATTCATACATGATGTCACTAATAAAAAACTTTGTCCTGTCCAACACAAATAATGTCAGCAAACAAAAAACGACTCCCTTCCTAAAACACAGCTTGAGGTTCTTATAATCAGTCATCCAAGAAGAACTCATCAGGAATTAGAGACATTTAACAAGAACAAATAGTCCTTAAATCATCAATATAATGACAAATAAACACATTAAATGGACTTAATCTTCAGTCTCAAGATAGTCACGGAGCAAACAAAGTCTTTTCTCTTCAGGACCAGTAAACCTGCCTGTTTTCATAGCTAATGGTAATGTACCTGACATAATTGTGGACACAGATATATTTGATTTTTAGCTAAAATTTCTGCTTCACATAAGTTATGTGGTTTTCATCAAAACAATATCTTTGTTTTGCATCTGACGTTTGGATGTTGCCATCCCATATCCTCACTAATGGCCAAAACTGGTGTAAGCTTATGAACCCCCAAAACAATCTAATTGCTCTGTAATGGA